GGATATTCGCCAGGCACCTACAGGTCAACCACCAGGAAAAGAAGTTCTAGTTCAATGGAAAGGCCTACCTGCGTCAGAAGCTACCTGGGAGTCAGTGAACTCTATTTCAGAACACTTCCCAGACTTTTACCTTAAGGACAAGGTGTGTTTGGAAACCGGGGGTATTGATAGGCCCCCGGTCCATATCACCTATTCTAGAAGATCCAAGAAGGTTGGAGAATCAGCTGGAAGGCACGCTTAACTAAATTCTGTTACAAATGCACATGGGAAGAGGGAATATCTCTGTTAGATACCGGTTATATATAAGGGAGAGAAATAAGAGATATTCAGGCAAATATTTGAGTGAGCAGTAAAGTGGTTGGTTCTTATTTACAGCCTTCTTCAGGCTTTATGTTCAGTCCAGTTTCTGTAATCACCCGTTTTTAATCAAATAATCACTTATTCCTCAGTTGAACTTGTTCTTTCCAGTTGGTATCTTATCATTATACTCCACATTTCTCTTTTACAGTTATTTTTTGTATTTTATGTCCCTTTGTCCACACGATTCTCTTCATCTTTATAATACGTCTTTTTCTAAGCTTTTAGATACTAAAAAAATGAGATCATGTCACCAAAATGTAGTTGGAAGCTTAAGAACAAAATACATTTTTATTTTTTTTTCTTGTATATACTAGGTTGATTAATGAAATGAGTAGTCGTGGTTTAATTTGATCTTTCAAAATGAGTACCAGTGGTTTGATTTGATCTTTCCCTTTTATTTTTGCCTAAATTAGGCCTAAATATTGATCAAATTTCCTTAATCAAGATGCTTTTTTTGTACAATCATTGTACCATAAACATAGTTTTTACATTATTTCTATTGATTTCGGATTAAACTTGTGTAGTTTGAATCAAATTGCAAGAGTGATTTTGGATTAAACTTGTGTAGCTTGGATCAAATTGCAAGAGCCTATTATATACAGATGGCAGTGCAACAAGTTCACTCTTTAGTCCATGGGTTGGGTCACTTAATTGATGGTGGTTGAATGCCGTAAAAAGGTTTATCATGCCCTCATTCGACATCAGTTTGTTTTTATATGAGATGATTGAAACTCGATCCTAGCAAGTGGCATCAGAGTCAGGGTTATGGGTTTGAGTCACAAGAGCATCATTTTGAGGAAGGGATTGTTGCGGTACAATAAGACCGCTCATAGGTCCATGGATTGGGTCACTCAAATTTGGTGGTCTAATGCAATATAATGTTTAGCCTGATGTCATTCACTGGACACTAATTAATTTTTGATGAGATGGTCGAAATTCAATCCTAACACGTACATTTGAGTAACATTAGAAATGTTGTGAACAAACATTGAGACAATATATCAACAGATCAGTTGTCATTCTGCCCTTTAATATAGAATAGTTATGTACTTCCAAATAGTGCTGATTAGAAGTATTTCCAGATATTAACAGAACTTTACAGTTATGAACTTATCCTTGTCTCCTACTTTTCATCTTTTGACTTTGAAATTCTATTGATTGTATATTCAAGATCCAGATGTGATTGAGAAGTGCAATCATGTTTTTGGAATGAAAATATGCACTTCATTTTCAGAGTTCTATCAAGGGACTAGGCCTTATTTTCTGGAGGTGTCTTATGAAATTGCTACTGCACTCAATATATACAATTTGATGTTCTATATTATTTCAGAGCAATGACTCTAGGATACTTAAAAGAGTTTTTCTTATCGCCTAGATGGATAATATCCATGTGGTCAAAGTTTACGTAATAATGTAAATAGTTCTAAACAAGAAAGGATGAGCTTGGACATAACAGGCTAAACTTTAGTTCTTCTGGAGCTCGTAATATTTTTTACCCTTCTACTTTTAGGATCGGACGTCCCCCAGGGACCTTGAGATTATATGATCTTAGAATTTCTTGATGGGAAGATGGCCAGAATTAGCTGTAAGGAGTCTATGGATGTGTTGATCATTGTTTGTAGTAATCATTATCAAGTGACATTGGCCCCACGCAATCTTTCTTCTTTGCTTTCAATTACGCTTGGAAAGTGAGAAAGGGAAGGGTTTCAGTATAATTATGGGTTTGACAAGAAGGTCTTTATTGATTGTTTTGTTTACTCTGTCTTTCATTTTCTCTTTTGTTTTGAGATAATATACAAAGACTTCCTGTGTTTCAAACACTACGAAAACCTCTCCTAGGGTTATTTATCATAAAAGATTCTGCCTTTTTAGTATAAACAAATAGCAAGTTATCTTTAAATTTACGCCCCTCCACCCCCGAACCCCAATTTCCCATTTTACACTTCTAGATTTGAATTACCTTTAAAATTAATATATTTAAACTATCTTCCTTTTCGCTGTTTTCTCATTTCTTAAAGAGAAATTCTTAAAAAGAAATGTTGTCATATCTTAATCAAATGGGTTTATTTTCAATATAAAACAAAGATAGCCCTGAATAAGGTTAAAATTTTGGATTTTTTTCCTTTTTCTATTCAAAGATTTTTTTAATAATTTCTTGTTTTTTCTTCTAAATTAAAAGGCTTAATTTAGAAAAAATATTGTTGAGTTGTAACTATTTTTGCTAAATGGGAAAAAAGGAACTTTTTTCAAGTTAAAACACAATTATTCTCAACTAAATTAAAATTAATAAAAAAGATTGTTTCAAATATAATATAAAGATAAGGGTGAAATAGTCGAATCGTATTTATTTTTGATAGAGGGAGGTTTCTGTAGTTTTTGAAAAGACAAAGAGTCTCTATAACAGTCTCATACCTCAGGGGAGTCTCAAAAATTATCTCTTCTATTTTACATAGACTTGAGTTGACGTGGAAAATAGTGACTGAGAATATTGAGTATGAACCAGAACTACCCATTTATATATAGTTTGGGCTCTGCACATCTTGGGCTGAGACTGCAAATCTTGAAAACCAAAAGGCTTGATTAGAATAGAAATCAAGCTTTGGAGGTGATCAAAAAAGGATACGTGGCAGTGACGGTAGCGAAGATGACGATGAAAGAATGGATAGAGAGAAAGGAGTGAGTTCTATTTCTGATTATTGCTTGTATAATACTATGATTGAAGCACCAAACTAATTCAAAGCCCAAATAACCCCGATAGCAGCTGATATCAGCAGTAACAAACTGGCTTGCATACTGATATTCTCCTAACAACTTCTTATGTCATGCTAACATATTTCCAAATATTTACCAGACACAAATTTGGAGTCAGACAAACAAAGGCTATTGTTAGATTATATGGAAAATGAAAAATTAGTTGACACTTAAATGATGTGTGAAAAGTTATAATGGTTTGTGGAATAGGATCGGTTGAGAAAACTATATATACTTGGTAAGCATGATTTACTGGGAAAGGAAACAAGCTCAGTCCATTTATCTCCCTCTTTTCATGCAACGAACTGAAGGTCAAAAGTGGGAATAATTTGAACCATGGATACTGTTTATCAGCAACCCCTTGTAAGGATTTGCCCTCATCATCTACCGCTAAAATGAAAGCAATCCTTTCACAAGAAAAGTTTAGCTAAGTTAGTGTATCTGGTCATGCAAAAGAGGTTTGAGGTTGATTTTCAGTTACTTTTCAGATAATCCTTGTGTATAAGCTTTGACTCCGTTTCTCTGAACTCTTGAACATTGCAATGCTTTGTGTTTTCTACCCTAATATTTTAATATATTGTAATATAAGTAAGTTGTGTGCATACTCATGTAAGTTATTTAGGCTATTACATAATCTATAAAGTTGAAAATTTTATGGGTAACATTTTCACTTAATTTATCAAAGTTGAATAATTAATATCATATGTGGAATTACTTTGAACTTGATCCCAATGCTGATTATAGATGATATTTGTGTTTTCAATTATGCACATTTGCATTAAACATGAGCTTGGTTTGGAGTTTGAATTATTCTTTCAGTGAAGCTGAAACACAAAGAGCTATACCTCTGCTTGTGTAGACGATTATTTCCTAATTGTTTCAGCATCTCAGAATTGGCATACTCAATCTGTTTTTTACAATCTAGAAAGTAATTATAATGAAAACTTTGCTTATATTCTGCTTTGTACTACCAGTACAAAGTAGCAAGCCTTGTACTCACTTATTATATGCATATCAGCTTGATTAGATGTAAGTGTACCGAAGATAATGGTGGGCGTTTCTCAAATGGAGTCTTTTGATACCGATCTTTCTTTTTCATAAGCACCAGTTTTAAAATTTTCATGTAGAAATATGAAAACACACATGGTAGTCACGATTTATTACACCCTAGGAATGCATGATTGTGGCTTCCTCATTGTTTTCACATTTGAGAAGTGAATATTTTGCCAAATTCATTGCTCACTATTGCCAGTTAGACTTTTGGTGGTGTCAACTGAAGTATTGCATACAGTGCCATTCATTGTTTCATGCAATCCAGTGTCATGTGATGGTCTTGGTTGCTTAGTAAGTAATTTATGCAGCCTGCCAATACTGACATGCATATGATTAAATTTGATTTGATAACTGTCCATTACTTTCATGGATTGTTTGAGAAACTTAGTGATATGACAGAGCTTAAATGAAGTAATTAGATCACCGCATATTATATTGGTGCAAGCATTATGCTTCGAAGCTTATGTTTTCATCAAACTCTTCTGCGTAAACGTTGTTTATTAAAAATTGAATGCACCACCATGCAGTGTTTTTTTTCAAGATGCTCAATGTGAAACATGATTTATATTGGCATTATGTGGTGTATGTGTTGTTGTTGTTCTTATTATTATTATTATTGTTGTTGTTGTTGTTGTTGTTATTGTTGTTGTTGTTGTTGTTATTGTTATTGTTATTGTTTTATGTCATATGTACTTGTCAAATTGGTTAGTGAATATCGGAAGCCCTTTGAGAAAATATGCACTTTTTTTGTCCATGTGGATCGTGCTTTCAAGTTTTATTACTTTCATCATAATTATTCCCAGGCTTTCTAAATTTATCCTCATGCTATGTGGCAGGTGGCGGAAAGGGCTCTTTTCTGGTGGAACAATGAACACATAGTGAGGCTGATTGCAGAGAACCGACATGTTATCCTACCGATAATATTTGATGCATTAGAAAAGAATACACAAGGTCACTGGAATCAGGCAATCCTCGGTCTGAGCTCCAATGTCCGAAAAATGTTCCTGGAGATGGATACTGAACTGTTCGAGAAGTGTCAGAGACAGTATGAGGAAATGGAAGCAGGGGTTGGAGTACGAGAAGAGCATCGTGAGTTGGCATGGAAGAGAATAGAAGAAGTTGCTACTCAGATCTAGTGATCTTTGGTGATTTATGAAGCCTAGTTCTCCCTCCCTCGTTAGATGCTCTCTCTTTTTGCGAAGATATTGAGCTCCTATCAAAGAAATAGGAGTGATATAACTTTTGGGCTTGGTGGAGCTATGTTGGTCTAATGCTCGAGGATCTTCCCTTTTTTCATCCATTTGCTGCTTTATTATCATCCCAAAAGGGAAGAGGTATGACTTATCCAAAGGAAAGCTGGAAAGGAAGATAAAAAGCCCGGTAAAAGAGGAGGTAATGATCCAGTTACACTTTTCCGTTCATTTTTTCTTTTTTCGTCGCAAGAAGTGGGTGTATCTTCCATCTTTTCAATTTTTGGTCTTCTTAGTAATAATATTAGTAGTTGTAATCAAGATGAGTTTTGTTATCCAAGTTACTTCAAGAGCTACATGTGAATATCCATTTCATTCTTATTTAGAGAAAGAGACGAATGTTGATATGTTCTCTTTCTGGTAGTACTTTCCTGTGTGACAATTGGTTATTTCTTTTTATTGGTATTTGTGAAAGCTTGGTTATGACGTGTGATTTGCTTGTAGCTTGTTTTATGCTATTATGAAACCGATCTGGTTTGTCCCAGATACAACTCTACGCGTATGGCTTTTGTGTTGTTTAAATGTGTGAAGCTTAATCATATACCTGGATTGACTTATATTTCTACAATGTAAAGGGTTTTCTTCATGTGATGTTTTTTGGTGTAAGAGATGGGAGAATCTTATATTCGTCAACGTTAGATCGGAAACCTGCCATGGGAAATAAATGTAGCCTTCGCATTTTGATTATTTTTTTATTTTTATTTTTATTTTTAACCCCCGTGATTAGGATTAGGGCTTAATCCTCAGCACGTGCGACAATTTGCATTTTGGTCTAGAACAAATATTCTCTATGGCATGTTTGGCTTCTTGAGCCACTTCAAAAGACCCTTCTTTATTTGGTCTGTAAATCATGTATGCTGTTGGGAAAAGGCCATATATTCCCTGTCAGGGAAGAATAAAGTTGCAGAGTTACTGGTTGACAAAGATTTTCTCTGACATATGACCTTCTTTATTGTGTCTTAAAAAAAGGTTGAACCCAACCTTGGGGGTTCACACCGACATGCTCCTGGAGCTTTGTGAGGAAGGTGAATCGTGGAATGTGTTCCAACAAGTCAAGGCACAAGAGCTGCATGTACATTGCGCCTACAAAGAGTCCAATTTCATGTTTCAGGAATCGACTTCCCACACTGCGACTGTCAACAAGACGTGAGATAACTTCACTCTTGTCCTTTGCACCACTAGGCTATGCCCCGGAGGGCTTCCTTTATTGTGTCTTATTATTATTTCTCACATGTCCACGTGAGCCGATTACTCATTTAACAAAATTATTTTCGAAAAAGAGCGAGTGGAGATATAAAGAACTGTGGGTCATAGTAAACAACTTAACCGAATCGCAAAAGTATAAAGGCACAATTAAATTCATGAGATGAGAAATTCTTTAGCATTCGATACCTTTAGATAATTGTCAATTTTGTATCCTCGTCTTGTTAATAGCTATTAAAAATAGAGAAGGCCTCTCAACCAAAATAATAATAATAATAAAAATAAAAACCTTAGAATTGATTTTTCAACCGAAATATAAACCATGAGCCACACATGGCTTATCTACTGTAATCACAACCCTTTGTCAGGGCATCATCACAACAAAAAAGTCAAACCTACATAGGATGTTTGACCCTTTATTCAAAGTAATTATTTTAGTGGAAATTAGCACAATAATGGTCAATATCAATCTACGTGACAATGCGTGTCAAATTAAATGATAAGTTGAATTAAGGCACCATTTGATAGGACCAATTTTATAGAGAAAATGAAATTAGGATGCCAATTTTTAACTTTTGTGTGTTTGATAGTGTTATATTTTCCATGGAAATAAAGTTCTTGGATTTCTTGAGAGTTGTAGTTTTCTAGCTTTTGTGGGATGGTGGGAATTGATTTTCCAGGTAGTTAACGTCTTTTTTTTTTTTTTTTCTAATGAAAACAAATTTTAAGAATTATTGTAAAAAAATATTTTCCGTTAATTGACAATTTTCATGTAAAACAAAGTTAAACTAACACTAATAGATAGATGATTTTTTTTTTTGCTATGGAAACAAATTCCATCCCCAATACCAGTAAATTTCATCAATTTAATTGACAATTTTCATTTAAAATAAAGGCAAACGAATACAAAAAAATACTTTTATTTCAACATTTTTCACGTGAAAAATTATACCAATTAAACACAATAATTTACAATTCACAGGACAACAATTTTTAAGCAATTCAATTCCCTGGAATTCGTTTTCTTTCCACCCAAATTTCATTTTTGCAATCAAACGAATCATAAATGTAAGATTGTAAAAATATGGAACTCATTGAGTTGAACATAATTATATGCGTTGTCATCTAAACTAATACCATTCTTAAAAAAAAAAAAAAATTTTAACTACTTTTTTGGACATCTACAATGATTACAGGATAGATAAAAAATTAAAATAAAAAAATAAAAATTAGCACTTATTTGATTCCCATTTTTCAAAACTCGTTTTTCTTCTAAATTCATCTTCAATCACATATTTTATGGAATTCACAATTTTTATCAATTTTTCAACTATACATTTAAGAATATATTTAGATTTCGAAGAATTTCAGCCCATAAAAATGTGAATTTATTTGCATTTTTAATCATTACAGTAAATTAAGAAATATGAAAATTTCAAGTTCTAACTTGTCAATTCCTTAAAATATTTTTATGACACATAACCAAATTACCTTAATTAATTTCAAGTTATATTTTTACTAATTCCCTCAATTAGTTCCTGCTTAAAAAATATTTGCCTTCAAATATTTATGTGATCCATGACCAACTAGCCAGTTAGGGGCATAAGCAATCCGATTGGATCGATTTTATTTTATAGATTTTCATATCAAATCAGTTTAAATGATTTGAGAAACCCAAACATAAACCAAACCATTTAAAATAATTTGAGATTTTCTCAAATTTAAATTTAACGACTTGGTTTGATTTTATACTGCAATTTGTCTGAATGTTTTTTCTTCCTTTTCACTTTATCGTCAATTCATTGATTATGATTTTTTTTATAAAATATAAAAATAATCGTAAATATCAAACTATAAATCTAAATACCAACAAAATCAAATAAAAGTCCCTACAATGACATTACGAACATAGGATAATTAATTAATTATTGGTATTTGAACAATTGATCAAATGATCAATTTTTGAATTAAAATTTTAGTAGATATATTTTTATTTTGAAAGTTAAGATTGCAATTTATTAGACTATTTTTAGACCAAAAAAAGTATGTCTGTTTTATTTTATTTTATTTTTAATTTGCGAACAATGAGATTCGATTTCGAACTGTCCTTAAACATAAATCAAACTATTTTCAAAAAATTTGACTTATTTCCAAACTGTTTGGGTTAATATTCCAAATGGTCATTGAACTTTACAAAAAGTTTTCATGGGGCCACTAAACTTTACAAATCGTTCAAATCATCATTAAACTTTGCAAAATATTTATAAGGGATCACTAAACTTTAAAAATCACGTCATTCATCACTAAACTTTACAAAGTTCAACTAAACTTTGCAAAGTTCAGTGACCCCGTGAAATTTTTTTGTAAAGTTGAGTGATGAATTGAGTGATTTTTAAAGTTTAGTGATCTTGTAAAAACTTTTTAAAAAGTTTAATGACCATTTAGATTATCAACTCAAACCGTTTCGTTAAAGATTTTGGTTGATTATTTAATTGGACAATTTTTTTCTTACAGTCCTACCATCAGTTGTGTGCAAAAATGGGACCCTTCATCAATTAAACTTTGAAATTTTCTTCGATTCATTCCTTTTCAATTTTGCCAATTTTTCTTCGATGTAATACTATAATAATGATAATGAACCAATCTGGTTGGTCATAATATACAAACTAACAATAATTAGAAGAGACAAAAGCATATTGGTGGGTGGAGATGATTTTGATAGGGCTGCACCGCTCCCAAATATCATTCCAAAAAAGTCATTGTCTTTACCACTGGACCCCCCACCGCCTCCTTCGGTTGCGCCGGTTGCGGCCCCACCACCATATGATATGCTGATACTGTTGTCCCTGCAAATGAAAAAGAAATAAAATATCAACAAAATGGGTGCAAAGAAACCTCTTCTTCTGGCCTTATTATGGTACCAAATATGGTTTAGAGCTTGCTCTGTAAATGGTACACATTCGGAGCTCAAATGAGAATTCAATGGTGGAGAATAAGCAGCAGCAAATGGGTGACAAGGAGAGGCCTTCTTCCGGTAGGCCCCCACTGGTACCAGCAAGTTGTTGGGTAAGAATATATAGCATCACAAATGGGACCCACATTATCAAATTTCAAAGAGTTGGACCCACATTCATGGGCTGGAATGCATGAAGAAGAGAATTTAATTTTCACATAGCCTCAGAACAAAAAACAAGACTTTTTAGACTCTTGGAAATTGTTTCATAGTCTTTCTCAACTGAAAAATGAAAAAATAAATAAATCGACTTCAAAATTCGGGACATTTTATTCCCTTTAATAGTTAAAGGTTGAACTCCAACCTTAAGGACCCCCACCGTCCTATCCCTAGAACTTTGTGAGGGAGGTAAATCGCAGGATGTGTCCCTACAGGTCAGGGAACAAGAGTTGTCTGTACACTGCACCTACAAGGAGTCCAATTCTATGTCTCAGGAATCGAACCCCTACACTGCGACTGCCAGCAAGGCGTGAGATAACCTCACTTCTGTCCTTTGCACCACTGGGCTATGCTCCGAGGGGCTCCCTTTAATAGTTTCTTTGAAGGTTAAAGGCAAAAAGAGAACAACTTCCCCACTTAAAAAAGACAACCTTTTTCAATATCAATCCACAGGAAAACCAGTTTGGCCCCTCAACTTTCCCATTACAGAATCTGGTCTTGGGACTCTTCCAACTTTCTTTTGTCTCAAACTATACTACTAACAATTATGTTATACCTATGTACAGCACCGTATATTAAACATTCTTTGTCACGAGTTTTCTGTAACACTAGTAACCAAAATCGACAAAATTTCAGTAAGTTATGAACGCATCACATATCGACCTAATGTACCCTATTGTGCCACATGTTTATTTTTCGATACTGTCCAGTAATGTGCATCGCACAAACAAAAGATTAGCACTTCACCAATGGCGTACGAATTTAGTAATTACTTCATCTGGTCTTAATTAAGCGTCATTGAGAGTTAAGAGCCATATTTTATGGGTGCATGTACCTTGGACCACCAATGACACCAGCATTCATGGTGAGAAGGTCAATTAGTTCTGCAGACCTGGGCTCGACGCTGGAGGCCTTGGCATATTGAGTGCTGAGGCCTTCACCAGAGGGAACAAAGAATGCCCCATTTACCAGCATGTCCCCGTCCGTCCTCCAATTCCACCCAGCCCATTCCACCTCGTCTGTGTCGACGCGCTTGGTCACCTGTTCAAAGACATGCAAAAACCCGTGCACTTACTAAAAGTCCAATCAATGTTAACTGTCGGTTCAAAATTATTCACACACATGAAAAGGTTATCAGTGGGGGAGAAATGCAAATGTACATGCACTTTTCTTAAACAACCTTACAAATTACGTTAAGATTCATTATTGTGAAAGAAACAGGAAATGAAAGGATATCGACATCTTGAGAACTCAAAATTCCCATCATGTTACCCTCAATTTCACATCATTTACATCAGCAAGATTATTTTACAAGATACATCCCAAGAAAAGAACATTTGATAACAAGATATGCATTTTTTATTTTGCAGCTTTAAATTCAAACTTAATCTTCAAAAGATTATTCTAATCTCAACTTGGGAGGGCCTATCACCACCACCAACACATCCACTGCATGAGAGTTAGGCACAAGTCAAAAAGGTTCATGAGGAAAGCATTGTAGGCACTGAACCAATGATTTTCTTTCCCAGATATCTCCAAGGAGAAACTAAATGAACAGCGTGCTTGCTGGTGCTTAAAAGTAGGTCAAACTTACTCTTAAGTTACTTCTTTTACGAAACATAGTTTTTTAAGTTACATTTTACAGTAACGGTTTGCATTTTTAGAAAGTAAATCTTAAACATGTCCATAAGTGCAAAAATGGAAAATTACCTCCTTAGCATTTGGGTCGGTTGGCGCACTATAACGATTGCCTTGACTGTTAATTGTAGGATTGGCACTTCCACCAATTGCATACATCTCCCATTCAGTAAAATCATTATTCACCACATGTATATACCCTCTCCTGCACCTTGGCATCCTCTGCACCAGCCCTTCCCCAAAGTGATTGAAGGCTATTGTAACCTACACGACAACAAAAACTCGTAGCGGAAAATCCAAAAATGTCCAGGATTAAGCCTTAACGTCAATCACGAGAACTATATTAAGCAAAATGAAATGGTTGTTTCTAACCTGCATTCCTGAATCAGCCAAGTACTTGTCATTATGTCCCAATAGCATGACCTCGTCGTGGTGAGAAAAATAGCTGTTAGAAATGGTAATGGCAGTAGATCCTAGAATGGCATCGATCAAGCCATCAGTACAATGTGACAAAGCACAGTGATCTATCCAAATATTTCTGGAACCAGAAATGGATATCCCATCTCCGTCCGATTTGCCTCTCCACCCAGCATGACTCGGGCTCGACCTTACGATTGTATTCCCCGATGGTAAACAATTGTAGATATGCACACCATGAATGATCACATTGCTGATATACTGCAAAGTTAAGCAGCCATTGCCGGTTATGTGCACATTCGCACCACGCCCGTCAATGGTTTTGAAACTGTTAATTATGAGCTCGTGTTTGAGTTTGATAACCATGTTGGATTGAAAAATTATCCATAGGGGGACATCTTGGATGACGGCGTGGCGGAGGGTGCCAGGGGTTGGGTTGGCAGCGTCGTGGTCAGAGGAGTCGGTGACTACGTATATTTGGCCGCCTTTGCCGCCCAATGCTCCTTGGCCAAAGCCAATGGCACAATCCGCCAATTGCTGGCGGTTGGTAGCCCAGTTGGGGTCGCACCGCCAGCAGTCATCTATTGGATTGCCAGTTAGACATTGGGATTGTTCGGATAACATTTGCCTTCTTGACAATGATAAATTGACCCTCCTGTTTGAACATCATAAAATTGAAAAAGAATGTAAATTGGCAATTAAGGAAGAAAATTGAAAAGAGATATAGTGGAAAACAGGGGAATGTATAAACTCAAAATGATTTCTTGGACAAAATAAGAGAAACCCAGATCATGAATGCTGTAAAATAACAAAATACATATCAATATTCTTTCTAATTTGGAATCGCGTGGAAAAGACAATGGCATTGCAAGAAAAAGCAAGCTGGAGGTGAACAAAATAACAAAAAAATTCAAAATCAAACTTGAAAAATAAGCAAAACCGAAATGCAGAATTTTTGTTTCATTGCAAAGTCACATGACCCAACTTCTCAAAAAGCAAAATCCGGATGGAATGTTTCAACTTACAGCCACTCCAGAAATTGCTATAATGAAAAAATCAGATGTGATTGACAATGATGTTTTGCACAGTACAATAATGTAGTTCGTTCATACAGACATGCAATTTCATATACCTTTGTACTTCTTGAACAACAGCTTCAGGGTTGGGATGTTGATGAGGGAGGGTGAGATTTAATAAACTGGCAGCTACGCTAAAAGAAGAGAGACCGATGATAATACAGTACAAGAAAATGCAGGTACCAGGAAGCATTCTTGGAAGAAAAAATAATAATTACTATTTACAGCTGTTTTGTTTATGCTCTGTTATTGTTTGTTTCTGTAAAAGAGACTCTAAAAGAAAGGAGATTTCCTTCTTCTTGAATGCTCAGAAGTTTGTTTATATAATAATAACAAGATTGCATATAATAATGATGTTATTAGTGAATAAATTAAGGAATAAACAAAAATGAATTAGCTTTGTTTGTAGGGTTTTCGGCGATAATTTCTTTTTTGAGTTTATTTCAACATGAAGAAAGGAAGAACTTGGAGCGTTGGCTCTGATGGGGACATGGGAATTGTGTGCGCGAAAGAGAGAGGGTTCTCTCTCTCTGTTTACATCTCCTTTGCAGCCTTCCTCAACTTCTTCGCATTCCTACCTTGCTGGTTAGTTATTCTAATCCTAGCCTGTTTGGTTAACTTAGAAGAGCTACTTATTTACTTTTAAGTTACTTATTTTGTAAAACATAATTTTAAAAGGTAAGATTTAAAATTTTAAACACTCTGTTCCATGAAATGGATAAAAAAGAGAAGGAAAAAGACGGGATACTGGAGAGCGGAAGAGACATTAGGAAATGGTGAAGAAGAGAGGAAGAAAAACCGAAAAGGGTAGATTTTAGAAGAAGGGCATGGGGGCGCCCCGGGGGGCAGGGATGCTGGAAAGCTTTCTTATCCTAATCCAGATGAGGAATATGAACCTTTATCTTATTTCTTACTTTTCTGGAAGAAAAATTTTGATAAATAAGTTTCTTTAATTTTGGGCTGGTGGCTGGATATTATAGCCCTGATTGAGCCTCATTTAAAAATAAAAAAAATAAAAAAAAAATTACATTTTTAAACGGGGATTTAATATAATTTCAATTACGCATTTTTCAATAAAATAATATTACATACAAATTCAAAACTTTTCCTCATTTTTTAATCATACATTCTCTATCAATCTACTATTTCAAAATACATTCTTTCAAACTAATGTGTCTCAAACACACTATGAAAGATTCTTTGCAAGAGGAAAAGAAAGATTAAGTTCTGTTAATCTACTTTTAATCAAAGTTAGCACATCTCTCTCTCTCTCTCTTCATTTTTTTTTTTTTTTTGACATTTTCATGTAATTTGTGAAAAGGACTTGAGATTGAAAACGTTAAAATGAAGAGTTTTTTCCCTTGATCTTTGTTATAGCAAAATTGATTTTCAGTCACTTGTAGAAGCAGCAACCAGATTTCTTATGGCATTATTAAGAGCATCTTCAATGTTCGTGTAAAATAGAGATTTAGATCTTTCGAGTGATCGAAAACCTCTCCTATAGAGAAATACAAAGGAAATGAAAATTGCATTTTTTTCAACAAAGATTCTTGTAATTGTCTCTTATTTGATACTTAGACAATGTTTTAATTTTATCCTTAATGTTGTCTACAAGATGGTGGTTTATTTGAGTGCACCAATCTTAAAATCTGAATGCTCGTTTAAGTTTGTTGGATTCTCATACCTTACTGATAAGTATACTTTGCACACTTATCCAAGCTGGTAAATTCGAGTATTTGTTAGTAATTTGAATGAGTTATAGCTTAATTATGTGTTATTTATGTTTGTTAAGTTGAACTCAATGCAAATTGGTGAAATTTGAAGAAATGAAAGAAATTCAAAGTTTAGGGGCCAAAGTGTAAGCATTCAATAGTTGATTCGGACCATGAAATGATGATTGAAGATCATATATGATCAATTGGATGCAACTGGAGGTCAAGTGAGTGAAATAGAGTTGAAGTATTTACACAAATCAATTGCTCTGAATTTTTAGCCTCAACTTAAGACACATTTTTCGGATAGCAAAATTTGAATTGGAAAAATTATAAATATGGAAAAATTGTAGCTCTTTGAGCTATCTTTTCAATACACTTTGAATCATCTCAATCGGATATTGGAAGAGAAAGTTATGATCAAAATATCAAAAGCTGCTTAGGTACAAACCGATGTGAATTGCCCGTGCGCGTGGGCGTGTAGTACCCTATTCTCTATGAAGCGAAGTCCATCAGTTACCACCAGATCTGCAAGAACGACAAGATCCGCCAAGAGCAGCTGTCAAACGTGGAGAAACTCTTAGGAATTATGTGAATCCCATCCCAACTCCTGTGCAACCAACTATTATATATCCACATTTTGGGCAGGCCAACTTTCACATTCGACCAGACGTCATCAATTTGTTTTAAAATCACCAGGACATCAGGTTCTTTAGAAGATCAACTAAAAATCCTCATGAACATGTTCAAGCCTTTTTGATGCTTTGAGATATGATAAGCTATGAAGACTTGTCTGTTTATGCCTTTCGACCGCGACTATTCCCTCATACTTTAAAGGAAGGCGCACAAGAACGGTTAAATTCACTAAATCCCGGGAGTATCGTTTTATGAAATGAACTGGTGCAGAAATTCACTTTGAAATTCTTCTTGTCGTCTCGAGTCCATTAGATCTGAAGCGAAGTCCATATTTTCAAGTAAAAAGACTTCGAGAGCTATTCAGAAGCACGTGAAAGATTAAAAAATACTTTAAAAAGTGTCCTTCCTAAAGATTTTAAGATCTACATATTCTATTCAGGTCTGAGACCTGAATTTCGCAACATAGCCGATGCTTCAACATATTCCATTGGAATGCCTTAAATCTTTTTGAGAGAATTGTAAAAAATCAATCCATGTGCCCTATAGATAAGAAAGTGTCAAGGAAAAAATGGGGTTTCACAACATAGATGGAGTAACAGCAATAACAACCTAGCTGGACGTACTAACAAAAAAGTTGGACAAACTAATTCAAAACGTGAGCATGGCGCACCAACTAGCACCAATTTGCGGGGGTTGTAGGGAAGAACATACAACTGCAAGCTGCCATTTAGCCCCCACTCTTGTTTATTGATTTGAGGAGGTCAGTTATACAAAATATTCAGAGACAGCAAAACAATGCTTACTCCAACACCTATAATCTAAGTTGGGAAAATCATCCTAAATTTTCATGGACAAATAATCAAGGACACAGATATCAAATTCAGGGTAACCACAAGAATTTCAGTAGCAAAAGGAGAACGGATCATCTTTGGAAGATATGCTAAGCACACCACCAAAACTGAGGCTGCAATCCAGAACCAACAAGCATTTATCCAAAATTTGAAAAATTAGATAGGGCAGCTAGCAGCTGCATTGGTCAATAGAACAAAGGGTACCTTGCCGAGCAACACAGAGAAGAACCCAAGGGAACATATATTAGCAGTTGAAGCTGTAAATCATGCAGTTATTGAGGGACCATCAATCAAGCCTGTTATCCCTGTTCAAACTTATGTGATGCCTGTTCCATTCCTTCAAAGGCTTTAAAGACAGCCTAAAGATGAACAAGTTTAAGCCATCACAATGAGAATTGGTGTTCAGCTGCCAGAAATCACGGTGAAGAAGAAAGGGACAGAAGAGAATAGGCTATCTACCACAGGCAAGAATTAAGTGGTTCAGTCTGAAAACTTAGCAAAGATTAATCAAGAAAAACAATCAGACAGTCTACAGGTTAAGGGAATCGTTCCTGTCACCTCCAATCCCATTCCCTCAATGGTTGCAGAACAATAAGTTGGAAAAACAATTTAAGAAGTTTTTGGATGCTCTCAGACAATTTCACATCAACATTCTTTTCGTTGATGTCATTCTACAAATTTCAAGTTATGTAAGTCTTATGAAAGAGAAGTTGACTAAGAAGAGAAAGTTGCCAGTAGATGAAACCATGGAATTGACTAAAGAGTGAAGCACGATCATAAAGCAAATTCTTCCGCCTAAACTAAAGGATCTAGGAAATTTCACTATACCTTGCTCTATAGGAAATTCATATAATTTAAATGCTTTAATTGATTTTGGAGCAAGTATTAATCTGATGCATTGTCTATCTATAGAAAATTAGGATTGGATGATCCAAAAGCAACATCAATAATCATACAGCTGGCTGACAAGATATTTAAGCATCCTTGTGGAGTGGTAGAGGATATACTCATCAAAGTTGGAGATAAATTCTTTCCTACTGATTTAGTTATCCTTGATATAGATGCTGAACGCATGCTATTAACTTTGGGATGACTATCTTAGCAACTACATGAGCATTAATGGATTTTGAAAAATGTGAATCAATCTTAAGGGTGGAAAAAAACAGCAAAGCTTCACAATGAATGCTTCACTCAAGCAACCACTTGACATTGAGGAATGCCGAAAGATCGACCATTGGGGAAGAACTAAGAACAAAAAGGAAGAAGGAAGAATAGTTGGGTGGGACAACAATGAAAATCTTGTAATCTAGAGACTAAAAGATGAATTAAAAAATAACTACCAGTGCAATCGGTGTAAGGTTGAAAACTCTATTTTCAAGTCACCATGAATAGTCAAAACATCAAAATCAAGCTAATTACTATAAATAAACACCTATTAGGAGGCAACCCAATTTTTTTCTTTTATTTATTTTTGCTTTCTAGAATATTGGATTAGTAAATTTCATTGCTTTTCATAGTTTAATCAATTTTATTGCTTTTAGTAGTATTGGGTATCTTCATCCCATTATTTTCCTTTAAATTGCGTTTGAACTTATTATGAAGTGTTCTATGTTATGATTGATTTTCTAATTATTTTGAACGAACGTGATACTTGAACACACTGAACAAGGGAAAATACATTGCAACTGAGCCACAACTTTCATGCCAGTCCATCCATTTTCTTCAAATGTATATCAGGGGAGTATTTAGTTCCTTTCTTTGTCCTTAGTTTTTATATATTCATTGTATTTTTAGACATCGAGGTGCAATGTCTGTTATAAGTTTGGGGGTGGAAAAACACCGATGTCCTAAATTCATCTATTTTGGGAGTTATCAGTCAAAAGCTCACTACAAGGGTCATTTATAAAGCTTAATAGAGAGAAATTCGCACATAAGATGTAAAAAAAAGAAAAAAAGAGAGAGAGAGAGAGAGAGTGAAAAAATATCTATATAAAAAAAATTGTTACGTGACTTGTTTAAGCCCCAAATACTTATTTGAGATAATTAGACTTTTAATAAGGGATTATTAGCCTATTTGATTCTTGAAGGTCGAAGCAATAAAAAAGAAGAAAATCCGTACTTGTTGATATGTTGAACTGCAATTAGTAAGGTCTAACCAAACTAGAGAGGATGAGGAGTAGTATATAAATTCAACCTTAAATCACGCCTCGTGAAGAGAGTTAAATGAATAAGTTTGGCGCTGTGAATCTTACGAGAGGAGAAAGGATAAATTTGACTATTGGAGGTCAAGATTTGAATCACTTTATGAATTTATAATCCTTGAAATGAATTTTCACACACATAAACATCGATTTTGTATTGGATAAGTAGCAATTAATTTTAGTATTCTAATTTTGTGGCAATTTATAGTCTTAATATATATATTTCGATCCTGAGACCAAAAGCAAATTATCTAATCATGTTTTTTTAAATTTTGTGTCTAAGGACAAGTAAATGTTTAAGTATGGGGTATTTGATAAGTGTATTTTGTATACTTACCCATGCCAATAAATTAGAGTATTTGTTAGTGATTTGAATGAGTTATACCTTAATTATGTGTTAATTATGTTTGTTAGGTTAAACTCAATACAAATTGGTGGAATTAGAAGAAATGAACGAAAAATGAGCAAAAACGAAAGAAATTCGACGTTTAGA